TAGGCAGGACAGCCATTGACGGGGCTGGGAGAGCAGGTGGGGGATGGGACCTGTTCAATTTGGAGATTCAGCCAATTCAGCAGCGGCCAAATCTCCGAATCAGATTTGGCTGAATGGATTTGGGGACAGTGATTTGAGTCACTGAATCGAATCAGTGTCCCCCAAATCAGCTGAATCGGAAGTGAATACTAGCCGCTTTGCACAGGCCTAGTGGGAGACCTTATTAAAAGCCTTGCTGAAGTCAAGGTATACCACATCCACTGCTCTCCCTGTAGCTACAGAACGAGTCACATTGTCAGAGAAGGCAATCAGGTTGGTCAGGAGTGACTTGCCCAAGGTGAATCCATGCTGACTGTTCCTAATCACCTTCTCCTCCAGGTGCTTAGAAATGGATTCTTAGAGAGTCTTGCTCCAGAATTTTTCCAGGGACTGAGTTGAGGCTGATCAGTCTGTAGTCCCCAGATCCTCCTTCCCTTTTTTCAAGATGGGCACTATATTTGCCCTTTTCCAGTCATTGGGGACCTCTCCCAGTCACCACGAGTTTTCAAGGATAATGGCCAGCAGCTGTGCAGTCACATTGACTAATTCCTTCAGCATCCTCAAGTGCACCCTGTCAGGCTTGTACACGTCCAGCTTTTATAAATCGTCTCTAATCTGTTCTTTCACCACTGTTGGCTGCTCACCTCCTCCCCAAACTGTGCTGCCTGGTGCAGTAGCCTGGGAGCAGTCCTTGCTTATGAGGATTGAGGGAAAAAGGCATTGAGCACTTCAGCCTTCGCCGCATTGCCTGTCAAAAGAGATCTGCTGAATTCAGTGGTATTGTGTTGAGGCCTGTGCTTATTTTAATACTGACAGGCAGACTTATGGGCAGGGGGATTTAAAACATTTTCTTCTTGCATAAGCAAATATTTATCACAAAGAATTGTCTATTTTATGTACTTATGGAAATATGTACTGTCGCCTAGCTCCGCCTACTGCCCAAACTGGCAAACTGCACTGAAGCACATCAGACACGTGCGGAGAAGAAATGCCTGGGCAGGGACTATTTTTTTTTTCATTTTCACAACAAAAATATCCTTGGAGTAAGAAGATTTCATAATTTTTATACAATGTATGTAACCATTAATTAGGTGGTCTATCAGTGTATAAACACCACTGGCTTTTTAGGAGGCCCTAATCTTTGAAACGTTTACCCATTGAATGATCATCTGCTGAGACGTAATGCTTTTCTGATTTGGTATATTGAACGTTTTTTTATAGTAAAGCATGGTATGTCCTGTAACTTCACTGAATTTTTTCACAATTTAATTTTAGCTTTTGGGCCAAATGTATAAATAGCCCATAGCATTACAGTTGACACTAAAGAACTCAATGGTTTTAGAGATTATTTTTTATTGGAATTTCAGCCATATATTTCTGGACAAAAATATTATCAAAATCAAATCAATGAGCCATCAAGAGGGAAATATTATCAATGAGCAATGGACATTTCTACTAGAGAGGTTAGCATTCACCATAGCAGGAAAAAGTAAATATATTTCTTCTGACACCTACTAGCATCACCAGCTTGTTACCTGCAATACGCAGTTTGAGCATCAGCACAGTTTGATCAGAATCTAAATTCACAGCATGTTTCTAATTTTGCTTCTTGGAACAAATGTTTAAACACGACTTCATACTCTAGTCCTGAACAGCTGCAATGAAATATTTAACATGCTTGTTTACTTCTTTCCTTTAGATGCAACTTGCCTCCTATCTCTGAGAAATATACAGTGGATGTTGGGGTGAAGACAGATGTTGTGACAGTCAATCCCAGTATAATTACTGAAAGGTCAAGTCGTTTCTTTTTTAAACCTCTCTAGACTTCCCTCCCATATCTTTGCAAAGCAAACAGAAAAATATCACTCAAATCTGTCTTCAGTGGTTTAAAAATCCTGCATTGTTAATCATGTATTTTACTCTTCCCATGGTAATTAACTGCAAGAAAAAAATAGTTCCTGATTATTGTATTTAAGCACTGTGATAAATAGCAGCACCTGGACTTGCATTTTAATACTGAAAAGTGGGTAGTTGATGAACTGAAATCACCTTAAGGGGAGCCCTCTCCTAGTCAAAAATGCCATTTGTACACTTCAGGAATAAGTCCTGTTTAGTAAGTGTATTAACTAAGCTAACACTTAATTAGGTTTTTTAGATAAAATGTAGTGTTTAGTGTAAACGAAGAAACTTCTTTTTAATGCTAGTCAGTTTGAGTGCCAAGGGTTGTCCAAGGATACTAAATCTTGCTAATTAACCCAGGCTACTTAGCCAGTTTGCTAAACCCACTTCATAGTCCTAGTTTAGACAAGACATAGGGGCTTGATTCTATGCTATGCTGGGATTCTGGCTGTCATTCACCAAATCACGTAGGCATCTGCATATGTCCCATTATGGTAGGTAGCATATATATAAAGTTAAGCAGAGTCTCGTATGATCCTGTTGAATCAAAGACACCATTCCCATGTGTAAAGTCGATCATACAATAGGGACCTTACTGTTAAAGCTTCAGTTAGTCAATCTTTTCCTTCATTATGTCACTGTCCATGAATAATCTGAGTGTGGGATAACATATATTTGATCAGATCTAGGAATTCAGATATTTCATTAACTTTTCTGTTCTGATCTGCAGCTTATTCATTATTTTACATAACTCTATGCCAATAGGGGTTAATTATTTATTTAAGGAATAGCTGATCAAAAAATTTAAAGATCTTAAAATGCCTATATTTTGAAAGAAGAAAATAACATGTAACTGACCATGCAGCGGTCACAGTGAACTTACTGATCCAGGGCAATATGTTCCTAACTTTAAGTTCCTCTCCCTTTATGCTAAAATTTTCATATGAATATGTACCCCAGTTGCTGAGCTAAATATATTTTTCATTTTTCACTGGAACAAAAAGTTGACGGAATTTTTTGCAACCAGCTCAACTGAAAAATCAGGAATGAGTCATGCAACATATTTCCCCATCAGGATAAGAGTTTCTTGTTGGTTTGTTTAGTTGTGCTGAACCTTTCTGCAGCCAGGTTGTCATTTGCCTTCTTGTACCTGCAGGTTCCATAAACTGGAGAAATGGCGCAAACCTTTCTACGACGTGCTCCAGGTTTATGAAAACGCATCGGTGTTGCTGCCCGCTTTCTACAACACGCGCAACACGGACGTCTCCATCCGGGTCAAATACGTCCTGGATGATTTTGAATCTCAGCAAGCTGTTTACTACTTCCACCCGCAATATCTCATCAATGTCTCGCGGTACTGGCTCAGTCAAGGGGTGCGGGCCAAGCGCATTAGCACGGGGCTGATTCTGGTGACTGCTGCCCTGGAGCTGTGTGAAGAGGTCCACCTGTTTGGCTTTTGGGCTTTCCCCATGAACCCCTCAGGGATTTTTATAACTCATCACTATTATGACAATGTCAAACCTCGCCCTGGCTTCCATGCTATGCCATCAGAAATCTTCAACTTCCTTCACATGCACAGCAAAGGTATCCTGCGGGTTCACACAGGGACCTGCAGCTGCTGTTGATGGTTGTGTCTTTTTCCTCCGGTGTAAAAGTGCAACAGGAACTTACTGTCTGTGTTTAGTGTAGAAGAGTTTTCTTACATCATGAGATTATGCAATAATTGTTTGATACAAATTTCTCAAGGCATTGCATTCCCTGGGAGCTGGGATAGCAGCATCTTTCCTGCTAGCTGAGTAGGGTTCATGTTGATTCGGGTAAAGCAAAACGCTTGTGTCACAAGATATGCCCTGCCCTAGAAATCAAGTCAAGTAAGAAGCACATTTCTAATAGGTTTTAGAGATCCACAAAGCACATCAGTGTAGGTGTCATTTCACTTTTAGGAAAAGCACCCAACTGAACTCACTGGTTGAGGAGGATTTTAGCACACAGTGGATGGCATTGCACAGATGCTTCTGAAGCAGACACCACTGGACATTGGCAGTTTTACTGAAACAGCGGTTCTCATGCATTCAGATTTTAAACGGAAGTTCTTTATGTATTCGGGTAGTTCAAAGGGCAAGTGTATAAGCTGTGATCTTTATTCCGTCATGTCGCACCGTATTGGCAAAACACATCTGCTAGACATGATACAGCCAAGACGGTCGTTTGATAAGAATTCAGACAAGATGCAGCGGGGGGTTAAACTCCAGTTCCCAGCAACTCTCACTATCAATATCAAGTCTTACTGAATCAGTAAGAGCATCACAGATTTTTCTTCCCTGTGCCTCCCCCCCAACAAGTCTCCTTCTCTTCTCCAAATGCATCTGTCTTTCTCATAGATGTAATGCTTCCTTCCAGCCAAAAAGGCTAACGGTGTCTATGTATGTCTTCTTGTGCAGTCACCAGCTCTGGACTTCAGATGTTGTTTCCAATCTCGGGAATGTTTTGTCCCCTCTGAATTCTGCCAGATCATTTTCAAGCTGAATGGCGCTTGTATCACTCTGTTGAGCCATCGAGGTGATTCTGCGTGATTTTGGCAGAACTGATGTTTTGGGATTCAAGTGTCACAGAGCATGGGCGCGAATAAAGCTATTCTGAATATTTTGTTGATTTTGAGGAAGTACCAGAACTGTGATGTGCTGTTGTGTAAATTGTCTAGTTATGTCATATTTGTAAGTACCTCCTGGGAGGTGCTCATGGGTGAGGGAATGATGTTAGGACACAATGGGAAAACTTAGTTTGATGAACATGAAAATGATGTACTTAAGGACCTCAGGTGTCTTAATTAGACACTGCTTTATGCTGAGGGCATCCTTACAATTGTTATCCTATTTAAGGCTAGTTTAGACTTAGAAGATTAACCAGTGTGAGTGTGTCAGGGGGATTGTTTAGCTTCCATAGTTAATGTGGTAAAAGCTGTAATGTAGATGCGATTTTCCTGGTTACAAAAGCATTGTGTATCATCATATTTAGAATAATATTAATATGTTATACTATATAATATATTAATAATTATATTTATTTTGGTTCAGAAACTGGTATAAACGATACTGGTATTTGTATTCTTATACTGGCATAATCGTGTCCACACTAAGATGGAGTTTGCTGT